CCATGGCGCTAGCCTCGGCCGCGGGAGATGATTGCCGCAAATTCTGCCTCGACGATGGCCAGGACTGGACGGTCAAGTGCGCCTGGTCGAAGTGCGCTAGATGCGGTGCTTGCGCCTCGTTGGCGAACTGCAGGCCCTCCTGCGCCACCAACACAAAGGGCTGGGACAAAAAGTGCGGCTGGTCGGCCTGCGGTGGCTGCTCCGAGTGCACGGCGGCGCCCCCGCTGCCTGCGCCGGCGCCCGGCGAATGCAAGGCCTCCTGCGCCACCAACACAAAGGGCTGGGACAAAAAGTGCGGCTGGTCGGCATGTGAAGGCTGCTCCGAGTGCACGGCGACGCCCCCGCCGCCTGCGCCGGAGCCCGGCAAATGCAAGGCCTCCTGCGCCACCAACACAAAGGGCTGGGACAAAAAGTGCGGCTGGTCGGAATGTGAAGGCTGCTTGGCGTGCACGCAACCTTCGGCGCCGCCGCCGCCGCCGCCGTCACCCCCACCAAAGCTGTGCTCGCCTTTGATCTCCGCAAACGCCCTCACCAAGTGCTACGACCCGGCGCTCTTCGTGGGCTTCACTGCCGACGAGGCGGCTTGCAGGAGCAAATGCGAGGCGATGCCGTCGTGCAACTTCTACGCGGTGTGGACCACAAACTGGTGCCGGCTGACAGAGACGTGCAACACATGGAGCGGAACTGACCCGTGCGCGCTATCTCCTTCGATGCCACCCTCTACATCGCCACCATCACCACCGCCGCCCTCCCCACCACCTTCCCCACCGCCACCATCACCGCCGATGCCTTCACCACCACCTTCCCCACCGCCGCCCTCCCCACCACCTTCCCCACCGCCACCATCACCGCCGATGCCTTCACCACCACCTTCCCCACCGCCGCCCTCCCCACCACCTTCCCCACCACCTTCCCCACCGCCACCATCACCACCGCCGCCCTCCCCACCACCTTCCCCACCGCCACCATCACCGCCGATGCCTTCACCATCACCTTCCCCACCGCCGCCCTCCCCTTGCTTGCCTCCTCAAGACATACCCCCCCCCCCCTCTGACAACAGACCAAGAGCCTCCAGCCGACAGGAGAATTCCGACATAACCGCTGCTTGCCACACCGTGGCAGTCGATTTGATAATCCACGTGTGATGCCTTAATGTTGCCCAACAGAATCTACAGATAGGG